AGGATGTGCCATTGCAGCGACCGATACAAACTTATAGGGGTATTGGAACAGGTACTGGTCCAGGGGGTTCTAGTAGTGTGGCTGGCATAGCTGTCACCTTAGTACAGACTTATCGAGGTACCGGAACGGGCTCCAGGTACTGGTCCAGGGTCCAAGGTAGTGTGGCTAGCGTAGCTGTCACACCCTAGTACTGGCTAAGCGTCTACAAGGGAACAGAGGATCTTCAGCTCTCTGTCTCAGACTACAACTTGCCTAGTAACTAGGCTATCGCTTGGGATATCAACTTACCTATCAACTAGGGGTATCAATCCCCCTATTGACTAGGTTAGGCTATCAACTAGGCGTATCAATCCCCCTATTGACTAGGTTAGGCTATCAACTAAGGGTATCAATCAGCTATCAATTAGGCTATCAACAATGATCTGAAGTCTACTGTGGTAGATGGGGGTCACTGTGTACCCTCATGAAGACCTGTAGTAGCATGTTCATTCCTAGCTCCCGAAGTTCCCCGTGCAATCGGGCTTGCACGGCGTCTCGCTGTCTGCTTCAACCGGGGCTGAGCAGGGGGCAGGGGTCTCTGGTTAGCCAGGGTGCCTGCAAACTCTGTCTCATCAGGTCAACCCCGCCAAGATGGTGATGCGCAATGATCCTGGGTAGCTAACACTAGTAGGGTAGGACAGTGAGGGTGGGGGTGCGCCAGAGCAAAATATGAGAGGAAGGGTGGGTGAGGTGTTCAGAACTTCAGAGGGGTTCATCTGGACAACCGAATGGCCGATTACTGTGGGTCACTGTCATCTGTCTAGCATCCCACCTCCACAACAACCTGGGCTTAAATTACAAAAGAAAAGAAAAAAAAAAAACTTGGCTCACCGGCGGAAGGAAGAGGCTGGTAGAGCATGCCGTCGCTCTCGCGGCGGATGGAGAATTTCTCTTGAAAATAAGCAGTCCGTCAAGACAGACTCAAGTTAAAGTCCAGATGCATTCAGATGAACACATTCCAAATTACCCTGGGCTGGTCCGTTCAACGATGATATGATATCTCAAGGCCGTCACCCACCCTTTCAAAAAAGAAACGAGAAAACAAAAAAGAAAAGAGATGATCAGAAGCTTCGAAGCGCCGCAACAAGTGACATGAGAAAAACACAACAGCGAAAACCGGGAAAAAAAGAGGAAAAGGTTCCGAAAAACAACATTCAACATTGGATTACACTTGAGCATCGTTGCAGAAAACAAGTGCCACAGTACTATTACGACTGCTACAAAAATTCTCCAATTAATTACGTATATGCACGTTGACAGGTCATCAAAGATCGCCGCAGGAGAACGAGCAGGGTAGTAGGCACATTATTCTTGTCTTCTTTTTCTGCCTCCTTTTTTTTTTTTGGGATTCAAAATGTAGTACCATGAACAACCGTCTTCTTCCAGACAGATTGTTAACTCAAAAAGGGTTCTTGTACTCCGGGGGAAAAAAAGAAAAAGAAAAAAAGAAAACAGTTTGTGGCAGCGCTCATACAAAATCTGAGTACCATCTAACAGTTGCTTGACTCTCTCTCTCTCTCTCTCTCTCTCTCTCTCTCTCTCTCTCTCTCTCTCTCGTGCACGTGCAAGCACGCTCACAGACATGTAATCTCTTGCACAAAAACGGAGGGAGAAAAAAGGCACTCAGAAGGAGCAGCTCCATGTGTAATGGCAGAGTGAAGAAACCCTTCTCTCTCTCTCTCTCTCTCTCTCTCTCTCTCTCTCTCTCTCTCGTGCACGTGCAAGCACGTTCACAGACATGTAATCTCTTGCACAAAAACGGAGGGAGAAAAAAGGCACTCAGAAGGAGCAGCTCCACGTGTAATGGCAGAGTGAAGAAACCCTTTCAACATCTAGTAGCAGTCCCTCTTCCACAGAATGACCACTCACATCATCGCATGAACAACAATGCTGACCGGAGTCATCGCCCTGCCTTTCTGTCCCCCGCTCACAAAAACACAGACAGCAACCTAACTTCACCCATCGAAGCAGGCAGTGGTGCAGCCTGCTTCCTACCACCCACATTTCTCTCCCGCCCACCTCCTTCCTCTCTTGGATGCCAAAGAAAATATACACGCAGAGACAACACCGGGAACGGACACTATAACGAAAAATATGCACTCGCGGAAACTAGGAACGCAGACTGCACACTGATGTGACACACGCTGACAATGACGGCCCTCTCTCTCTTCTCCCCCCCCC